TCAAAAATAAAGGAGGAATATTTTTTTATGTATGTTACCGCATAACTTTGGGCCACGTTAACCTAGGCGGTACCTCAGAGGTGATCCCATACTAATTTGGTTTAGATCCGACCATTGGATCATGATGTCAATTCTGTTTTTTTGCTTAAAAATTACTTGTTATAATAATAATATGTACTGGTTATTTAGCCAGACAAATTTTTGCGAAAAATGATCTAGCTGAAACGTAGGAAGACATAGATTTGCAAAAAAATAGAACCGCTAGGTGGTGCTGATGCCAATATAAAAAGTATATTCGGCGTTAAAAAACCGCTCAAAAACAATGCTAAAAAAAAATTTTCAATGGCCGCAAGGCAAGATGGGGTTTATTTTTTTAAAAATCGATTTACTTCAATTTAAAGTAAATCATCGGCTTCGGTAATCGGAAGATTGTTAGTACCAAACCGAACGTTCGGTTCGGCTTCGGATTCGGCAGAAAAATCTACCTTCGGTCGGTTTCTACTAAATATAGAAAACCTTTTTAAAATGTTGACTTAAAATTTTGTATTTAGATCTAAAGTGAGCTAACTCTAAATTCAGAGAGGGAAATTTAACTGCTTGTGGATCGTACAGATTTAACGCAATTAATACAAAACCAGGTATAACAGTAGTTTTTTTAGTTAATGTATATAATTACGAAGAAAAAAATATTTCCATTAATTGGATGTAAGTCCTATGAATTGATTTATGCAAAAAAATCGCCCAAATTTTTTTTGAGTTGATCGCACTTTAGATCTAGGTGTGCGATATGTAAATTGAAAACATAAAAATCGATTTCCTAGATTTTTGTTTTGTGATTTATGACATTATTGAAGTACATGAAGTAAAGCAGTAAGATATGTTCCTACAAATAAATGGAAAAGTGGGCCAGTTTAATTATTCGCAAACATTTAAAAATAAAGTTGAGTAATTTTAACGTAATATGCATGCCTCCAGGTTGGCCTTTTACGAAGGATAATGACCTAACAACCACCGCACGAGCCAAACCAAGCTGGCTTATGGAGGAAAACCTTGGAATTTGGAATGACCGGTGCTGAGTTTTGAGCTTAATCTTATTGATTAACGTTATTTTCAAAATATGAACGCAAACTTTCTTTCTTTTAAATTTGCACGTTTTCCTGGAAGCGTGGTACTAATTTCAAAGAGGAAGATGAGAGAAGTTTGAAGAAATCGGGGGCCCGGAGGTGAGACAGTATATATATGCGTGGCCAAGTCGTTTTATGGGGATAGTTATTGATTTAAACAGATACATATATCAGTGAGTAATATTTAACTTTTTTTTTATTGGTTATGTATTGCAAATTTTAGTATTAATGCTAGTATACAACAAAAATATTTGTTAAAAAATTTTTGTGTGCGGGAAGAAGAGGTGTTAGTGTCGTTTGATGTTGTGTCCTTGTTTACAAATATACCGGTACATGTAGCAACCGGGGTTATTATGAATAAATGGGAACAAATTAAAAATATGACGCGGTTTCCAAAATATAAATTTCAAACCATTCTAAACTTTTGCCTCAAAGACAACAATTATTTTATGTATGACAACAAACTCTACACCCAAACTTTCGGAATGCCCATGGGAAACCCTCTTTCTCCAACGATTCCTGATATCATCATGGATGATTTACTGGACAATACCATTTCGGAGCTCAAAAACGACTACAACATTGAAATTAAATTCATTACCAAATACGTGGACGACATTTTTGCGATAATTAAAAGAAACGACGTGAATATCATTCTAAAAACACTAAACAAACATCACAGCAAATTTCGGTTTACCATAGAAACAGCGTTGCCGTTTTGGTCCAATTGGACCTTTGGATCCTTTGGTAGTTTGGTTGGTAGGATGAAGCTTTTGGTAGGCAAATGTGAAATTGCAACCAAATTGAGCAATAAAATTTGTTTGCTTAAGATTGCATACTTCCAGTGCTATCTACTATTTATAGTTACTCTAAAAATATCTATGAATGGTAACTCTGTATTCATAGCAAGCAAAGGAAATAATGACAAGAGAAAGCGTGAAAGAAAGATGTTAAATGTCAAAAACTTGGCATTTGCGCGCCTTTCTTCAATTGAATTTAACAAACAAGGGAAAATATTAGTGATGGCCCAGTAAGTTAATTTTTCTTTAAATTAGTTACTTTTTAATCGTTGTTTATTTGCAGGTATATCTATAAAGCCTCTAAACCGTCCGAAGTAAGTGTGGACAATAGTAACGACGACTTGTTCAGGTAAAAAATTGCGACTAAGTAGGCATGTAATATGTGTCAATTAACAAATACTGAAATTTCTCGTGGTGATGAAAACTCGCCTGCGCCCAAAAACCAAACTCAGAAATAAACTAACCATCAGTACAATAAATAGTATTATGCACTGTAAAGAACTAGTACAAAAGGCTGATGCACATTACGTGTGGTCAGCAAAAAGAGATCTCAAAGATGTATGATTTTTTTACAAACGTTTTGTATACAATTAGGGGATATAAAAACTTTTTGTTTTTGATATAATATAGGATATAAAAACTTTTTGTTTTTAAACGAATAAAATGCTTAAAATTGTATTGTCGAAGAAAAAAAAAACGTTTGAAATGAATTGAATTGATCTCAAAGATATATATAATCCGTACGTTTTTTTTACAAACGTTTTGTGTACAATATTTTTGATACTTAGGTTGTTCACACTTGCTTGGTTATCAGGTTATCTGGTTAAAAATTATTATTCTGTAGTGTATTTTATTGTTGTAAACTGAATAAAAAATATAACCACATAACCAGATAACCTGATAACCAAGCAAGTGTGAACAACCTAACTTTTATTTAAACGCATAAAATGTCTGAATTTGTTGTTTTATACATCAAAATGTTTGATATGAATTGAATTAATATCAAAACTATATACAATGCTTATAACTGTTTTTTATACGATACGTTAATTAATTTATTTAAACGCCCGAATTTATTTTGTGTAAACTTCAAGTATTGCATGAATGGATAACCAACTGTAGCACAGTAGCATATTATTTGGTATTTTAATTTATGCCTACTGTTAATCTGCAAAACCTGTAAATTTAATAAAATCTCGTTTTATTAATAAAAATTTTTTTGGTAGTTTGCAAACTGATTTGGTAGGCTTTTTGGTACCTTAAAATATTCTCAAGTGGCAACGCTACATAGGAATGGAAGAGAATGCCAGTATCCTTTTTTAGATGCGCGTATTTTTAGAGAAAATGGCAACCTTATACTAGATTGGTATTCTAAGCCTGCATCTTCTGGACGCCTAATTAATTAATGATTACTCTTCGCAACCCACCAAATATAAAATTAACACCGCCAAAAACTTTATACATAAAATACCGACAATTAGCCATCCCAAATTTCCCCCACAAACATGGAAAAAATAAGGAAAACTTTGAAAACCAACAACTACCCTGATGACTTAGTACGCGAACTATTAAAACAAAAATTAATGCAAATAGATAGTCACCGAAATAAAACATAAACCTCAAAAGCAGCACAAAACATAACTATTGCATACAAATCCAACTCCACCTTATCATCAGTTTATACAAAAACAAAAAGCCCAATGGACTTCCAGAAAAGCAATGTTGTGTATGAAATTCAATGTAAACGCAAAGAAAACGAAGCCTGTGACAAGGTGTACATTGGAACAACTAAGCAAGCTCTAGGGGCCCGGCTAGCAGAACACGAAGCAGATATAAAAAAACGAAAAACAAACACAGCACTAGCATAACACATAGTAACAAGTGGACACACAGCTGATTTTAAAAACACTAAAATAATAGATCAAGAGAAAAGGGAAAGAACTAGGTACACGCTGGAAAGTCTGAGAATAATGGAGAAAAGGGAAAAAACAAAAAATAAAAAGGTCGCAATCTTTTCTTAGGGCCAGTTAAGAAAATACTCATCCCAACTGTGGGATGTAAATTAAGTGAATAGAATAAAATTCGAAAACTTATTGTTAGGCTCTTAGGCAGGGCAGATTCAATGAATAAAAATAAAAAGTTAAAAAAAGGAAGATACCGATAACATTGCCGCGGCTTTTATTTTTTATGTTTACAGAATTAATTTAAAAAGTTTTCAGTCTTGACGAAACTACCACACAAGATGGTATTGGATTTTTAGCAATTAAGTTTTTCAAAATGTTTAAGTGTTAATAATTTGAGTATTGTCTTGTATCGAGTTAGAATTGTTTGTTTACATATATTATTGTCATCAAACTATATGTATAAGTGAATACATACATGTATGTATGTATGTAAGCAGGTATTAGTAACGATATAGCGGTCGCCTGTCATCAGCTACCAACTTTTGTACTCTGGTCGGTCTTAAGCGGTAGTTAGGGGGAGTCAGTCTCAAAACCGTTGTCGAAGAAAAAGTATTCGAGCTCAGCAGTTGTTCGCCGTCGTGATAGGTCGCCGGGGTGTTTTTCTAATTTGATATACTTTACAGTACTAAAATACTTAGCACTTATGAACTTTCCACATTAAATTAATATCTTATAATATCTATTACTTTGCTTCAAATAAACATTGTTACATTTGGGGGCTCAACCGGGCGCTAACCGAACGAATAGTTAAACGTAGAGGTGACCTTTATACAAAAAGCAAGCAGAATTTCGCGAAAGAGAATTACGTAAAATTAAACGTAGAGGTGACCCCAACATAAAAAGCAAGCAAAATTTCGCAAAAGAAAATTACGCAAAAAGTACGAACTCAAATACACCGCTAGAACGGTTCTTCACTTATGGGAGTAAAAGATCGACATCTTTTAAACGATAAAACACATACACATAAGTACTATTTCACGCGCTCCGTTGCAAAAGGGCTAAAGTGCGAAAAAAGGTTGAAGTCAGTAGAACAGTTGAAACAATTCGCCGCGAACGTGAAGTGGGAGAAAGAGGTTGATAAACGAAACATAGAGTGCAGAAATGCCAAAGAAATGGAAAGCAGTTCTAGCAGCAGCAGTGAAAAATATGTGGCTGACCCCGAGTTAAAAGAACTTATAAAGCTTATGGCGTTGAAATTACAGAAAGAAGACGAAAACAAAAAAGTTAGCATATCAGTTGATAATTTCAACAAAATAATCCCCGACTGTGACGGCCAGTCGATACCTATTAAACAATGGTTTGATAACTTCGATCAAAATGCGGAAGCTTACGAGCTCACACCAAAACAAAAATATGTCCAAGCTCGGGGCAAAGTGGTAAAGGTGGCTCAATTGTTTCTAGAGTCGGTGTCGGTCAGTGATTACGAAACACTAAAACAGCTGCTGATTCGCGAATTCCACAAAGAACTTAGTAGTGCTGACTTACACAAAAAACTATCTAATCGTAAAAAGAAAGACTGTGAAAATTTTCATGAGTACATTTTAAAAATGGAAAAGATAGCATGTTGTGGAAACATCGAAGACGCGTCGGTGATCCGGTATATAGTGGATGGGCTGAAAATCCAAAACGAGTACAAGTATGCTTTATACAGTACAAAAAGCTTTTCAGAACTCAAAGTACAGTACGAAATTGTAGAAAGAATGCAAATTGTAGAAACAGTGCGGAAAAATAACAAAATTAGCGAAAGATCTAAACAAGAAAGAGAATATACATCAAATATTAGGAAGGAACATTGTTTTAATTGTGGGTCTGTAGATCACAAAAGAGCCGATTGCAAAGACGAGCCGAAGTGTTTTCGCTGTAACAAAAGTGGACACATATCAAAAAACTGCACGTCAAAATCGCAGACGCAAAACAGCGTAAACGTTGTACTTGATAAAAGTAGGCTTAAATCGATTGTGCTGAATGGTGTTGATGTAGGGTGTCTCGTTGACACGGGCGCCTATGTTACTTTATTGAAAAAGGGAATTTATATGAAATACTTTAAAAACAAAATCTTAAACCCGAATAACAAAGTGCTGTATGGTTTCGGCAACGCTAGCACGAAAGTCATAGGCCACTTCATAGGCACAGTTGAAGTCGATGGTTTAAATGTTGACCAGAAATTTTTAGTGGTACCCGATAGCAATATAAAATACAATGCTCTACTTGGGTATGATTTTATACAAAAGTTCACGTTTGTGGTGAACAACAGTGGCCACACATTCATGCCGCAACGCGACGGAGGTAGAGACGATGAAAGCCAGTTAAACATTCATAATGTATGCGAAATAAACCCGGTGATCGATGTGCCGAAAGCACATGAGGCAGCAGTTGTTGAAATGATAACGTCATACAAGCCAGTAGACAAGATCTTCGAATGTCCAATCACGATGAAAATAGTATCTGAAAATATAACGCCTTTTCGTCACTCGCCCAGCCGGTTGCCTCCGCATCAACAAGAAGTTGTCAGAAAGCAGGTTGAAGAATGGTTGCAGCAGGTAATAGTGCGACCATCATCATCAGATTATGCAAGCAGAGTGGTGCTAACGAAGAAAAAGGAGGGTACATATAGTGTGCATTGATTTTCGAAAGTTGAACACAATGGTTCTGAAAGATGCCTTTCCAGTCCCGCTTATAGAAGATGTGTTGGAAAAGTTACAAAATTCAGTTTATTTTTGCGTTATGAATTTAGAGAATGGGTTTTTTCATGTGCCCATTGAGGAGGGCAGTAAGCGTTATACGGCGTTTGTTACAAAAGAAGGCATGTACGAATTCAACCGTGCACCATTCGGTTTCTGCAATTCGCCGGCTGTGTTTATAAGGTACGTAAATTTTATATTTCAAGACTTAATCAATGCAAACATCATGGAGCTTTATATGGACGACTTAATCGTTTTTGGGCCTACACCGGATGAATGTTTATCTAAACTGGGGAAAGTCTTATCGACAGCAGCGAACTATGGTTTGAAAATCAAATGGAAAAAATGCACTTTTCTCAAAAAGAGAATGGATTTTTTGGGACACACCATAGAGGGCGGGAAAATTTGGCCAGGCGAGGAAAAAACTAGAGCAGTTGAGAAGTTTCCAATACCTTCCAATGTAAGAGGCGTACAAGGATTTTTGGGACTCACAGGGTACTTTCGAAAATTTATAAGGAACTACGCTAGCCTCGCACGTCCTTTAACGAACTTATTGAAAAAGGATACAGTCTTTAAAATACAAGAAGCGGAGATAAATGCAATTAATTTACTTAAAAAAGAACTTACACGTGGCCCTGTCCTAAAAATTTACGACAGACAGCCGCAGACCGAATTGCACACAGACGCATCAAAGGACGGGTTCGGTGCGACTCTACTACAAGTCATCAATGGTGAACTACACCCTGTATTTTTTTGGAGTAAGAAGACAACAATAGCAGAGTCCAAACAGTATAGTTTCGTTTTAGAGGTAAAAGCGGCTTATCTAGCGGTAAAGAAATTTCGCCATTATTTGCTAGGTATCAAATTTAAACTAGTCACAGATTGCGTTGCATTCAAACAAACAATGGCTAAGAAAGAGGTTCCACGGGAAGTGGCACAGTGGATATTACATTTTCAAGACTACACGTATGAAGTTGAACACCGATAAAGTAGTAGGATGAAGCACGTAGATACATTAAGTCGATATCCAGGAGCAAGCGTAATGACAGTGGCAACCGAATTTACAGCAAGGTTACACAAATCGCAACAACAAGACGAACATGTAAAAGCAGTTTGCAAAATTTTGAGCAGCACTCCGTACGAAGCGTACAAGATGAAAGGCGCTCTATTGTACAAAACTGTTGACGGAAACGACCTGTTAGTAGTTCCTAAAGTTATGGAAGCAGAAATAATACGAAAAGCTCACGAATCAGGTCACTTCGCTGTGCAAAAAACTATGCACATAAACCAACAAACGTATTTTATACCCCATCTTGAGAAAAAAGTTATGAAGATTATAAGCAACTGCGTTAGCTGTATTATACACAACAGAAAGCTGGGAAAGAAAGAGGGTTATTTACATTCTATCGACAAAGGAAGCCGCCCGTTAACTACAATTCACATCGATCAATTGGGCCCGATGGACGCCACGCCAAAGCAATACAAATACATATTCGCAATTGTTGATGGATTCTCGAAATTTGTATGGCTGTATACTACCAAATCGACAGGGGTAAATGAAGTCCTACAAAAGCTAAGCGAATGGTCAAATATATTCGGTGACCCATGCCGAATTATAAGCGACAAGGGGACCGCGTTTACGTCACAAGATTTTGCATGTTACTGCCAGGACAAGAATATAGAGCATGTGCAAACAACAACGGGAGTCGCGCGGAGCAACAGGCAGGTCGAACGCGTTAATCGTTGCGTCCTTCAAATTATCGCGAAGCTGTCGGCCGATAACTCAGCAAAATGGTATAAGCATGTGGCGAATGTGCAAAAAGCTATCAATTCCTGTGTTCATAGCTCAACAAAGTTCTCACCATTTGAACTATTGATCGGAGTAAAGATGAAGAGCGACAACAAGAACAATTTACTAGAGCTATTGCGCGAAGAGATGGTGGTAGCGTTCGATGTAGAAAGGCAACAAATGCGAGGAGGCGAAGCTGCAAATAAGCAAAGCACAGCAAACGTACAAAGCAAACTACGACAAGAAACGTAAAGCAGAACTTCAGTACCAGCTAGGAGATCTAGTAGCGATCAAAAGAACGCAATTCATCGCAGGGAAAAAATTAGCTAGCGAATACTTGGGCCCCTATAAAATAAGAAGGGTCAAGCGAAATGGAGGCTACGACGTCCAAAAAGTAACGACTGGTGAGGGGCCAATAAACACAAGTTCGTCTTGCGACAACATGAAGTTGTGGAAATATGTAGAAGACAACGAAGATTTATCACCTGAGGCAGATGACGATCAGGATGGCCGGGTGTAAGCAGGTATTAGTAACGATATAGCGGTCGCCTGTCATCAGCTACCAAAAAAATTTTTCTCGGTTTCAAAACTATCTTATCTTTTAAGTTGGAACCAACAATACACATTAACAAAATTTCATTGAAATGGGTAAAGCGGTTTTGGAGATTAGCGTAAACGAACACAGTGACACGGGATTTTTATATATTAAGATAAGCATGATGCGAGAAACATAGAAACAATTTCGACGAAAAAATCAAAAATTTTTTCCTGAGTTCACAACTATTTTATCTTTTAAGTTGGAACCAACAATACACACCCACAAAAATTCATAGAAATCGGTTAAGTGGTTTCGAAGATTAGCGTAAACACACAGTGACACGGGATTCTTATATATTAAGATAAGCACGATGCGAGAAGCATAGAAAAAATTTCGATGAAAAAATATATATTTTCCCGGGTTCACAACTATCTAATCCCTTATGTTGGAACCAACAATACACACTCACAAAATTTCATTGAAAGCGGTTAAACGGTTTCGAAGATTAGTGTAAACGAAAACAGTGAAACAGGATTCTTACCCTGTAGGGAAAACACGAACCAGTGAACCAGATTTCTAGTTCAGTACTAGTTCTTTTTCGCCAAAAACGAACCAGTCCGATAGTAACTAGTTCCGCACCAGTCCAAAAGCAGTGAAATGTGGTACTTTCACTAAACTATTTTATTTCAAATTTTAAACGCAGGGAAGGTAAACATGAGTAAAATAATTTGAATAAGCATTTAATCATTATTTTATGAATTATTATTGAGTTTTATTCTTTCGCTCAAACGGAAATAATTATTATTTGTTTTCTATTTTTGGGATTACAAATAAGGATTATTTTATGATTTTTCTCAAAGCCGTTGTCGAAGAAGAAGTATTCGAGCTCAGCAGTTGTTCGCCGTCGTGATAGGTCGCCGGGGTGTTTTTCTAATTTGATATACTTTACAGTACTAAAATACTTAGCACTTATGAACTTTCCACATTAAATTAATATCTTATAATATCTATTACTTTGCTTCAAATAAACATTGTTACATGTATGTTCTTGTTTGTGTTTTTTTGCTTTTAATGTTCCTTTTAATATTTTGTATTTTATTGCTGTAATAGACAAAAATAAACAAGGCGCCTCTGATGATGCTAATAAGTTTAGCGAAACGTTGGGCTATAATAGTGGAATAAACTTGTTTTATTTGCACTAGAGATAATTAGATCGGACTAGCATATCAAGGAAATTTATTAAACATATCCAAACCGATCGGAAATAACAACAACCAGTAAATAAATTTATTTAGGGCAACGTTTGTTGAGCTTATTTTTAGTTAATTTACTATTAATCTCTAGTTTGTTTACTTTAGTGTGTGCTGACTATGGTTGCCGTATGACATTTTTCGTTTGTAATTTCCTTTAAATATACCGAAATAGATTAAAATGCAGCATGCTGAAATGTTTTTTGCTGAAGTTGTCAGTTTTAGTAGGTTGATTGTTGAAATGAAAATTGTATAATTTTAAAGTACTACATATGTAGCTACATATATCTATTAATATTTTTATCAATAATGGGTGTTTGGAGGAGATTCTTATTTATGTGGTATCACAAATACTTTTGAAAAAAATAACTTATTCATTCCGATATAATTAATTTGTATTTTAAAAAGGTTCTTCTTATCCAAAAGTATTCAATTGTATAAAATTCCAAATCGGGGAAAATGTACCAAGAAGAAAATAAATTTACAAATGAACCACCAGTGGCAACTTTGGAAGTGATCAGCTGTTTCGAAGGTTGCAAGTGTTTGCAAATTTTGCGTTCTCGTACTTCTGTGGATATTTTGTCTCTTTGAGAGCGAATGCTGCCAAATTCTCAGAATTTTTGCTGTTGGATAATTTTTTCGGCTCAATACAAGTACACATCTATAGTTAGCATTATTAATTACATCCCAACGGGGCCAGAAGCGCTCCATTTGTTCTATTGGAGCGCTCCATATTCAGCAGTAAGCGCTTCCTTCCTAATTTCATACTTCATTGTATTGTATTTAACATTGTGTGTCATTAGAAAGAAGCGCTCACTTGCTGCTCCCAAAGAAGCCCTTGTTGAGCGCTTCAACTAAAGCATTTAAAAAGCTATGCCTGCAAAATTTTAATTTTTACATATATATTTATATATATATATATATTATAATATATTTTTGTTTTAAATTGTAAACCATTTGATGGTTATATTAAGCGTACTTACACATTGACGTGGTTTTTTTTCTTTTCTCCCAGTAGAACTTGGGAGCATCGTACGATTGCTCGGTGAGTACTCCCTTGGGAGCATACGAATACTCCCTTTAACATTGTATGTCCTAGGAGGGGGAGTAATCCCTTTTACCTCCTAAACGAGCAATCGGGGAGCACACACAGAAATATCATCCCACAAACCTCCTAAGGGAGAAATACGGGAGTACTCCCATAAAATCCTCCCCTATACCTCCCAAAAAGACAACAAGGGAGTGCACATAGAAAAACATCCCACATTCCTCCCGAACGATCAATAAGAGAGTGCTCCCATGAGAGGCATCCCGAAAGCCTCCTGTACGAGTAATAAAAGAGCTTTTCATTGGCTCACATATACGC